AGTAGCTGGGATTACAGGCACGTGCAACCATGCCCAGCTAATTTTTTGTATTTTTAGTAGAGACGGAGTTTCACCATGTTGACCAGGATGGTCTCGATCTCTTGACCTCGTGATCCACCCGCCTCGGCCTCCCAAAGTACTGGGCTTACAGGCGTGAGCCACTGCGCCCGGCCTAAAAAAATATTTTTAAAAGTAAAAGTGAGACCTGTCCCTGTCCTTGGGAGCTTACAACCTCAGTACATACACAAAGACAACACAGTAGATCCTGAAGTGTCAGGGTAGGTGACAGACAGTATGTCCAGTGGGAGAGCAGAGAAGCAAGCCCTGGAAGGCAATGGAGGCCTCCTGGGGAGGAGTCACAGTGAATGGAGAGAGGTGTCAGTCCCCACCTCCCAATCTGTGCCAGCACTGCCTTCTGGCAGCCCTGAGAAGTTAGTTCAATAAAATAGGGTGACCCAATGTGGCAGCCAGATCAATATTTTGCTTACAGATTCACAGAAAGTCAGTGTTTCCCTGATCATTTGGGGACCAAACTAGCTAACCCATTTTGTCTCCTTTTTATTTTCCAATATGGAAAAGTGGAAAGATAGCACAATGGATACCTTTAAACTCGAAGCTACATCCATCAATTCTGCCATATTCACTTATTTATTTTATATATATATATATTGAAAGTTAAGTCGCAGCCATCATACCTAAATATTATACTTCAGCACGTATCTCCTGCAAAGGGTATTCTCCTATGTAGCTCCGATATTATCACTCTGAAAACACTGAATGTTGATACGTAGTTCATATTCACTTTTCCCAAGTGTCTACACGGTGCCCATAATAGATTTTTCCCTTTCTTTAATGGCCTTTTTTTTTTTTGAGATGGAGTCTCGCTGCGCCACCCAGGCTGGAGTGCAAGTGGCATGATCTCCGCTCACCGCAACCTACGCCTCCCTGTTCAAGCGATTCTCCTGCCTCAGCCTCCCAAGTAGCTGGATTACAAGCTCATGCCACCATGCCCGGCTAATTTTTTTGCATTTTTAGTAGAGACCAGGTTTTACCATGTTGGTCAGTCTGTCTTGAACTCCTGACCTCAGGGGATCCACCTCCCAAAGTGCTGGGATTACAGGTGTGAGTCACCGTGCCTGGGCTTTTCCTTTTTTTAAATTAAAATGTAATCAGTAATTACTCATTGCATTTGCTCGTCCTGTCTCTTTTTTTTTTTTTTAAAGATGGGGTTTCACCATGATGGTCAGGCTGGTCTTGAACTCATGATCTCAGGGGATCCACCCGCCTCGGCCTCCCAAAGGGCTAGGATTACAGGCGTGAGCCACGGCGCCCGGCCTCGTCCTGTCTCTTAAGACTTTGTTTTTTTTTGTAACAGTACCCAACTCACCTTTTTTGTCCTTTTATGATCTTGACATTTTTGAAGAGTGGAGGTCAGTTTTTCTGGAGAATGATCCAAAATTTTGGGTTTATCTGACTTTTTGCTCCTGACGAGATTTAGTTTCTGTTTCTTTTGTAAAAATTGTGGTAAGATACAGGAACACAAGAATGACCTTTTTTCCCTTTTAACCATTTTAAGTGTACAAGTCAGTGGCATTAAGTACCTTGACAATGTTGTATGACTTTTCTTTTTGAGAAAACCACCCTTTTTTTTAACAAATCTCTTGTCACCCAGGCTGGAGTGCAATGGCACAATCTCAGCTCACTGCAACCTCCACCTCCTGGGTTCAAGCGATTCTCCTGCCTCAGCCTCCTGAGTACCTGGGATTACAGACATGAGCCCCCACGCCTAGCTAATTTTTGTGTTTTTAGTACAGACAGGGTTTTGCTGTGTTGGCCAGGCTGGTCTCCAACTCCTGACCTTGTGATTCATCCGCCTCGGCCTCCCAAAGTGCTGGGATAACAAGTGTGAGCCACTGCGCCCAGCCTTTTTTTTTTTTTTTTTTTTTTTTTTTTGAGACAGAGCCTTGCTTTGCCACCCAGGCTGGAGTGCAGTGGCAAGCTCTTGGCTCACTGCAACCTCCGCCTCCTGGGTTCAAGCAGTTCTCCTGCCTCAGCCTCCAGAGTAGCTAGGATTACACGGATGTGCCACCACGCCCAGCTAATTTTTATATTTTTAGTAGAGACAAGGTTTCACCATGTTAGCCAGGCTGGTCTTGAACTCCTGACCTTGTGATCTGCCTGCCTCAGCCTCCTAAAGTGCTGGGATTACAGGTGAGAGCCACTGTGCCCAGCCAGAATTTCTTTCCTTTCTAAGCCTGAATAATACTCCATTGTATTAATATATCACATTGTGCTTATCCATTAATCTGTGGATGGACACTGGTTGTTCCTAACTTTTGGCTATTGTGAATATGCTGGTATGAACATTGATGTATAGGTACCTGAGTCCTTTATGTCAATTTTTTGGGGTACACACCTAGGAATGAATTTGCTAAGTCATATGGTAATTCTCTGTTTAACTTTTAAGGAACTGCCAAGCTGTTTTCCACAGTGGCTGCTTCGTTTACATTCTCACCAGTCATGCGTGAGAATTTCAATTTCTCCATATCTTTGCCAAAGCTTGCTTTTTTTTCTTCTTTCATTTTTTCCAAATAGTCATCCTAATAGATAAGAGGTTGTATATCATTTCGTTTTGATTTGCATTTGTCTAATGACTAGTGACCTTGAGCCTCTTTTCTTGTGCTTGTTGGCTATTCGTGTATCTTCTTTGTCTTCTTTCTCTTTTTTTTTCTTTTTCTTTTTGTTTTTAGCATTCAGAAAATGATTCGGTTCCAATGCAACATGTATCTTCTTTGAAGAAATGTCTACCCTAGTTCTTTCCCTTTTTTTGAATTGGGTTGTTTTCTCATTTTAAAAAAATATTCTGGATATTAATTCCTTAAGAGAAATATTATTTACAAATATTTTTTCCCATTCTGTAGGCTTTATTTTCACTCTTTTATTTTTTAATTTTTATTTTTTGAGATGGAGTCTTGATCTCTTGCCTAGGCTGGAGTGCAGTGGCACAGTCTCGGCTCACGGCAACCTCCGCCTCCCAGGCTCAAGGGATTCTCCTGCCTCAGCCTCCCAAGTAACTGGGATTATAGGCACCCACCACCATGCCCAGCTTATTTTTTGTATTTTTATTAGAGACAGAGTTTCACCATGTTGGCCAGGCTGTTCTGGAACTCCTGACTTCAGGTGATCTACCCGCCTCGACCTCCCAAAGTCCTGGGATTACAGGCATGAGCCATTGTGCCTGGCCCTTTTCATTCTTTTAATAGTGTCCTTTAATGCACAAATTCTGTATTTTGATGAAATCTAATTTATCTGGTTTTTCTTTTGTTGCCTGTGATTTTGCTGTCATATTCTAGAAATCATTGTGAAGTCCAATGTCATGAAGATTTTTCCCTATGTTTTCTTCTAAAAGTTTTACAGTGTTAACTCTTAAATTTAGGTCTTTGATCCATTTTGAGTTACTTTTTGTATATGATATAAGGTAGAGGTCCAGTTTCATTCTTTTGTATGTGGGACTATCCAGTTTTTCCAGCACCATTTGTTGAAAAGATTATCCTTTCCCCACTGAATGGTCTTGGAACTCTTGGTGAAAATCAATTTGCCATATATGCAAGGGTTTATTTCTGGACTCTATTCCAGTGGTCTGTATGTCTGCTCGATTGCATTTTAAGAAGTTTTCAGGGGCTGGGCGCGGTGGCTTATGCCTGTAATCCCAGCACTTTGGGAGGCCGAGGCAGGCGGATCACCTGAGGTCAGGAGTTGGAGACCAGCCTGGCCAACATGGTAAAACTTTGTCTCTACTAAAAATGCAAAAGTTAGGGTGTGGTGGTGCTTGCCTGTAATCCTAGCTACTCAGGAGGCTTAGGCAGGAGAATCGCTTGAACCCAGGAGGCAGAGGTTGCAGTGAGCCGAGATTGTGCCATTCCACTCCAGCCTAGGCTACTAGAGTGAAAATCCGTCTCAAAAAAAAAAAAAGAGAGAGAGAGAGAGAGAAGTATATGGGGACTGGGTGCAGTGATTGACACCTGTAATCCCAGCACTTTGGCAGGCTGATGCAGAAGGATAGCTTGAGCCCAAGAATTCTGGACCAGCCTGGGCAATATGACCAGATCCCATCTCTATTTTTTTAAAAAAGAAATATATGGTTTCTTTCAACCTCTTGACTTACATCATTCCCTCGAAGAGAAGGAGAATTAGGAGGAAAAGTCTTAAACACAAAGGAATTTAATGTTACGGTGCCCTGGGTTTGAATGCTCTGAAGAGAGCAACACTCTGGAGGTGCCAATTTTCAGATGGCATTTAAAATGTCAGGGTTGGACAAACATTTTATTCTGTCTTGAACTCATCCCCCCTTAATATCTTAGGTATAATCATTCTCTATATTTTCTCTCTGTGCTACTAAATTTAGAGGACTCAAGTCAGGATTGGTAGGAGACTGATTTCGTGTGTGTTTGGCCCTTTAACTGCAGAAGAAAAAGAACTGCAACTGATCAACATTTATTTATTGAACACAACTTATGTGAGGCACTATAACTTAAAATTCATGATGGCTTACTGTCTAATTGGGGAGGTATATATATATATATAATTACTTGGAGTTGGAGAAATGAAAATTGAAATAGTTGGCAAAATATCCTAAAGTGGGATCTTTTGGTTTAGTTAAAGAAGAATAAATTCAGATTCAGGAATGAATGTGAACTGGTAATTAAACAGTCAGGAATGGGTAAGCTATCTGGGACAGTGCAAAGGCTTTTCTGACCAGATCAGACGATGTGTGTGTGGGGGGAAACACAAGTGGATAGGTGGGGTGGGGCCGAATTATGGAGGATTTTTAAATGACCAGGCAAAAAATGTGTACTTGATTTAGTAGACAGTAGTAAACTCAAAAATGGTGTTTTGTTTGTTTGTTTTGAAAATCTCGCTCTGTAGTCCAGGATGGAGTGTAGTGGCGCAATCTCAGCTCACTGCAACCTCCACCTCCCGGGTTCAAATGATTTTCCTGCCTCAGCCTCCCGAGTAGCTGGGACTACAGGCATGTGCCACCACGATTGGCTAATTTTTGCATTTTAATAGAGACGGGATTTCACCATGTTGGCCAGGCTGGTCTTGAACACCTGACCTCAAGTGATCCACCTGCCTCAGCTCCCAAATTGCTGGAATTACAGGCATGGGCCACTGTGCCCAGCCTCAAAAGTTTTTAAATGACATGATTTTTTTTTTTTTTTAATGGAGTGGAGCAGATTTTTAGGTAGGCTAATTCAGGAAGGAATGCAATATAGTTTAGAGGGCAGGAATTGATTCAGTTCTCGGAGAACTTCCCTGGAAAAGAAAGTCATAGATCTTTGCCCCAAGCCCAATGCCAGGCTGAGATGTATTTCACAACCTTTCTGATTGAAATCTACTGACAGAAAATACAGTGGATCTAAGATCCTGTGAGATCTTGCCCAAGTTTAGCCTGGCCCACTAACCTTTTGTGCTAATGGCATGAATTGCCCACACTTGGTTCTGGTTTGGACTGGCCTCCCCGGCTTGCCTCACTGTGGTGCCTTGTTTCCAAAGCTTCCACACTCCAGAAAGGGCTGTAACTTTAGTTTCCACATTTTTACAAAAGGTCAGATTTTCTAAAGCTGTTAGTGGATCAGCTGGGATTTGTCTGTGTTGATGAAGTTGCATGAAAACTGGGGGACATTGCAGTTGACCTTTGGAGACTTCTCCCCACCCCCCCATCTCCATTCCCCTAACGCTAAGCCTCCTCAGGACCTAGTACTTCTCTTCAGTGTTTTCCCACATCCCACACTGCTGAAAATTACCTGTGACTCATACAAGTGGTTCAAGCTGCTCCGTCCCAGACAGGAATGTTGAGTCTTGCCAGTTGACATGTTGGGTTCACAAGAAAGAGAGAGCAAGTGTCCTGTGGGCTGGAATCAGGGCAGATGCACAAACACCCCATGAACATTCCAGGGTGCAGGGCTGGAGAATGGCTTGAGAGGAGCCGTTAGGTTGATTTCCCTGTGGTCAGAGGCTAGCTGCAATTTTACCCTCCCTTCCCTGCCCAAACACTTCTGACACTGGAATTTCATCAGATGGCTACCGTGTTTGGTTTTCAACCAGGACAAACAAAGAAAAGAGATTTGTTTTCCTGTCTGCTTTTGCTGAATGGAATCTCTGATTCTACTTAGCAGCGTGCCTTATACACCCTGGGGCTGGTTAGGACTTTGAAGCCTGAGCACACAGGACTCTCAGCTTTATTGAATCTTTTTCCATATCCTGAGCCTGAGTTCAAACTTCATCCTCCCGGTCCCCCACGTCCCTTCAATCTCTGATTAATTCTCCAGTCAACTCCCTGCTAATGGTCTACCCACAAATTGCTATTTCAGCTGAACTTGCCCAAAACTTGAGCATCCCTACCAAATTTCTTGGGCTTCCTTCACAATGTGGTTATCTTCTCATCTGCATGACTTTCTGGAATAATTTTGAAGTGTTAAAAAATAATTTCTAATTTTCAAGGGCATGCAGGAAGCTCAGCCCCTAAGGAACATTGAAGAAATCTGGAGTTCTACCCTGTTTATACCTGAATCTAGCTTTCCAGCAGTTTCAGATAGTTTCCTGGAAACAATTTGTGCTTTGTGGTTTT